TCTGAAGAAGGCGAAACCGCCGAAACGTCAGCAATTGTGTTCTAATAAATTCTATATTAACAACCTCGTGTCTGCTTATTGATGAAAAACATTGAATTAGCATTAAATAATTGGTGTTGATTGCACTGAAAGGCGTAGAGAGCAACAGGAAATTATAGCTGAATTCAAAACTAAACAGGAAGTGTGAGAGTCCTGCGAAGCGTTCGAATTTTGAGGTACTTGCGAAGTAGTTATTGAATCTCACATAATGCTGTCATCCCTTGCTTGAAGTTTTTGTAGTTCACTGACTTTCTTCGGTTATTAAACTATGCGTACGAGTTCACTTGGTTGACTAATGTTTAGTGCTATGTAGTACTTTCTTTTCTTTTTTGCTTTGCTTACTGTATAGAAAAAGTGCTCCCTCTAGGTGCCATCATCCATCGGAGCTTGTTCACAGTATGCAGCCAGCCTACTCAAATGTGCCAGTGACGTCGTCGATCACAGCGATTGCTGTGCTCTTCGTGGAGTGTCCAACAAATGTCTTCCGTTATGTTCTGGTAAGTTATGCAGATGGTTTTTGAGAGAATGAAGATGTTTTTTAAAGCTTCAAAAGATAACTCTGATTTTCAAAACACGTCAGATATACCGATCTTTTGTATTTTTCTAGCTTGTATGTAGAAATTGGTGATCACTTCTAAATTGGCTTTACTGAATAGTTCGACATTTGAAGATATTCAAAGAGAAAGCGAAGATATCTTTTTGTTAATGATATATTACTGCTCCCAAGATTTCGAACCATTTTTGTTTGTAGTGGAAACTTAGTGGAAACCTCATAGAAAGCGGCTCTGAGGAAGGCGAAATCCGCCGAAACGTCAGCTTAATCGTGAACAAAGAATAATAACACCTCGCGTTTGCTCAACAAAAATGCGAAGAAAATTACTTGATCAATGCCAAGGTTAATAGAAAGTTGGTCGTGGCATTTTTGTTTGTTCCGAGATCCAGGAATAAATATAATTTTTCGTTTGATATGTAAGGGGCAATCGCTTGTTAGGATTAAATTATACCCTGCTGGCCATGAAATCGATACCGATTCCATCTTTTTGAACTCTTTCCACGATTTTTTTCACTATTGCAATATTGTCACTTTGTTACAACTATCAACCTGTTTAATCGTAATTCCTTCTATGCTTCTTTTTTGCTATAGGCTGTGTTATAGACAGTTACAGATCTATAGGTACCATCAACAATCATCCTTTAACGAGATAGATCTGGGGAGCGCAAAGAGACAGGCCAAACGAACGACGCGCGCGGTGCGGTGGTGAACTCGTTAGCCCTCGAAAAGTCTAATATCTGGTTCGATCGCCACCACAGACACTTGTGATCCGGGGTTTTACAAATATCTCGGCATCATTATAGTTGCATTTAACATAATATCCTGCCGCGAAAAATTTTAGTAGGTAGCAAATTAAAGGTCAACATTCTCTTTCCACTTTTTTTTGCACAATTGCAGCCTCATGACTTTGTTATAACTATCAAGTTGTTTAATCGTAATCCCCTCTTTGTTTCCTGTCGGTTATAGGTTTACCTGAATTAGAAAAAACCTCAGCAACCATTAATTTTATACAGCGATATTTTTTAAGTAAGATTTACAGGAGATACATTCTCTACCGACGTTGACTGTACTCCGTTTGCCGTAACCATCATGGAGTGTTTCGTGAAAGGACGCGAAGGAAGCCCAAAACCAGTGCAGAATGTCGAGTATGAAATCGTTGGAAATGGCAAACTAAAGGTTCACATTATGGTATTGTAAGGTGTAACATTGAACGACATAATGCTTCTAGTTCTTTCCAGTTGTAAATCTGGGTTTACATCTGTTCCTATTGTTTGCAAAAGTTTCACTGCCTACATATTTTTTGTCATTGCTGGTGTGAGAAGGGAAATAGGGAATCGCTATATAGCAGAGACATAGAACAGTTGAAGTGTGTATCGTTGTAATTACGCTGCCTCTTAAATTAGCAATGAAATGGCAGTTGGTACGCATTCTTTCGCCCTATGAAGATGGTTTTCCAATTTTGCGTAGGTGTGGAAAATGAACGAGTTAAATGAGAAAGGAAGAGAGAGGAGAAGCTCACAAGGTGGGAAAGATGAACGGATGAAGAGAATGGGAGGGCGAGTGGGAACGGAGATGACCTAGTTGAGGAATGATAAAATAATTCGTACATGGAGTCTGTGTTACCAAATTTGCTTTCGACCAGAGTATTTTACCCAGAGAAAAAGAATTCAGGAACTGAAGGAACCACTAACATCCAGGAAGAAACAGATTTTGCATTTTATCGTCAACAAAAGTTTAGAGAGTAGCGATAAGTAATGGCTATTAAATGTAGGAATAATCTGTTATTTTTAAGTTGAGATGGGAAGATTCCGACGCATCCGATACTTATCGATACTATGCAGTCTATTACAAGAAGAGAGACGAGGAAGGCGAATATAAGGTATGCGAGCAATTAAATTGTTTATGCTTCGTCTTTTCTGAGGTAATCCCATTATCAGTATAAAGTTCTGCAGCAGTTGTTTCTCAGTTTGAAGTAAAGTAGAAATCAACTGTAACAATTTAAGCAAAGCATAACTTGAACGTTTACTGAATGACTTCATTTTGTCTGCGTTTTTTTTGTTCGCACTTAACCCCTTTAGACAATCCTTATGGTATATCTTGCTTCCCTTCAGAATTCAAGTATTTATAGATCGAGAAAATGGTTGAACACTCTGTGGAGCTAAATGTGGAGCCCGACACTTCCTATGACATCGGTATAATCTCAGCTAATGCGTTTGGTCATAGTCCGCTGGTGTTTTTAGACGTACCGTCTACGAGTAACGGTGGGTTTCCAGCTGGTTACTTAATAATATATAGCGTTGGTCATGATAGAATTGTTCTTGGCTTTCATAAATTGTCTGGTTTTTTTTCCAGCCTCACATACTCCTCGCGTCTCAAAGGTTCTCTTACCACCAGAGTCTTGGAAACGTTATCCGCTTTGAACTGAACTGACCAAGTTTTATGTAGTCATAAATAGACAGGGTAGATACTTATGAACCCATACTTAATATGAGTAACCTATGGTTGGTATACAGTACTAATCTCTTCTAACCGTTCCGGAAAAGGGTAGTTCTCTTCAATTGAATTTCATACTAGCAGATATTTTCGAAATCTAGCTACAATGATGCTGAGTTATTTGCAAAACTCCGGACCGCAGGTGTCTGCGGTGGGGAACGAGCGCGCTATTGTCCTTTCCGGCTTAACTGGGTTCGGCGCCGATTTGGCCTCCCTAGATCAATTCCGCTGAGGGGTGATTGCTGATGGCAAAAGATCGATAGAACTAGTTGAGAGACAGGCGAAACGAAAAACTCGCATGGTGTGGTGGTGAACGCGTTGCTCCCCGGAAAGGGCTATAGCGTGTTCGTTCCCCACCGCAGGCACGTGCTCTCCGGAGTTTTGCAAATATCTCAACGTCATTGAAGTTATATTTCGCAATATATACCCTGCCATTAAGATGAGTAGGTAGTAAGTAATAAGTTAAAATTGAAATCTAGCTAGTTTATATTTTTTATTTGAAGGAAATTTGTTATATTCCGTTCACTAACCTTATACACCTACATCACTCGTTTATCACTTTATTCATTTGCATTCGGTTGATCGTTGACTGACTCGATCACTAGTCATTAAAGTCTCTCTTTATCTCTGTTTCTTGGATGAGTAGCCCAGTTGGTTATGATCATTTTAGGGACTCACTGAGCATCATAACGATATCATCAGAGAAGCGGAAATAGCGTGATTGGTGACTACCGACTCTCACTTCCATGTTATCACATTACAGTTTGAGCATGATGTTCTCGAGGGTGTGCGTAAAATACTTTTTGGCGGTATGGTGTCACCTCGTTGGACCTCATTCTTTAGGTCGACGTCGTCGTCTTTATAGAATGCTAAATCAGGGTTGTTAAGTTGTTATGTAGCCCGCCAATGATATTCATGTATTCAGGAGATGAGCCACTGCTGGCCACGACTTCCATAACCGCGTTTTTTTCAGCTTAGGTAAAGGGTTTCTGAAGTTGAGAGAAGTGATACGGGGCGGTCTTTAGAGATGCTTCAGTGTGCTTCACTACTGTGTGGATGTGATCCATCGTGCTACCTGTTCGAAACATTTCTCGCTCTCATGTTTTTTCTTCGTCTAGTGTTTTCCTAATTCTGTTGAGACTGATTTGAGTGAAGAGTTTATAAACGACAGATGGCAGGCTGATTGGGCGTTAATTCCCAATGTCGTGGATGTCTCTCGTTTTGCGCAACAATAGGGTTTTTTGCTCCTCTTTTTTAAAGAGTCTTGCATTCTGAATAGTAACGTGAGAAAGCGTGAGAAAAGTCGAGCCACAGAGTTGATGAGAAGAGGTGGAATATTCTTGAAATGTATAGGTCTAATAGTATTTGAACTGGGTACTGTACGATTCTTCACCAACGAGATAACATGTCGAATTTCGAACATGAGAGCGGGTTGGCGGCATATACATTTTTCTTAATGTTACAAGGATGTAGGTGTCTTTTGGTAATTTTCGAGCTTTTCGTTTGAATTACACTAACGTTAACATTTTAAATAAGCCGGTCATATTCTTCATCGATCTTCTAGATAGCGGTATCACTTTAAAGGCAATGAGTGATCTGAGTAAATCAGAGTTCAAAGTAGTTTCGGGATTTGGTTTTTTGAATTTTACTACTTTCTTTTCTTTCTGCGAAAAAATGAATGAATCTTGCGCACAGGAGGCAGTGGTCTTATTCTCTATAGAACTTTCGGACAGCAGCAGTGTCGGTCAGACGAAACCCTTGTTTTACTATGTTTTAGTCCATTTCATAATGGGTGCTTTCATTAGGACACTCCTACGTCAAGCGTTGAGAGCTGCGTTTCTTGAGTTTTGGGTTTCAATACATAGTCTTAGTGGTCATAGCAGAATGAGCCGCTCGCCCTTTTCTTCCATTCACTTTGTGGGTTTCAGTAAGGCGTTCTTCAGACGTTCTAGGTTTAGCCTCAGCGTTGGATTATCTAGTGATGACTTTGAGAAAGGTATGGTCTTCTCTTCTTCTTCTTTTTCTGGAAGTTCATATGGAACTTTCACATCTTTTCTTCATCATAGGTTAGTGTGGTTGTGTGGATGACAAAGACTATCAAGCCTGATGAAGGTGGGTACTTCCTCAAGCGTTAGCGTCCGATCTGTTAGCTCTTTGAGGAATTCGATGTTCGAAATCAAACATGTATTGACGAGCGCGCCGATGCCTCTGACTCTTCTGTTACCATATGTTCCGAGGAACTGCTCTTATCCAGCGTCATACATGACGTTGAATAGGCGATGACTTTTCTTCGGGATCAGTCCCTTGACGCCCCTTATCTTTCTAGCTTGCATGATTAACTCTGGAGAAAACTCAGATCCAAGTGAACGTGCATTATAGGCATACATCGTCACCTTAGTGAATTCAGATTTAGGCAGGCCAGAATGGTTCTACGATTTTAACGACCTCTCCGTAGTCGTCTTACCAAACGTTACCGTAATGGGGACCCTCTTATGGTCAGAGGAATGAGGCCCCTTAATTTTTTATTTTTATTTCATTTATATATTCGTCCGGCTTCACTAATTTATAAAAATTTACTGATACAGGTACATCAATGTCTAGAATGTAACGATCTTGTATATAACAAGGTTTAGACAGGCTGATTTTACAGGGAAGTCAAAATCCTCTTCCGGTGTGTCGTCAGCCTTCTTCGTCCTTCTTCTCCTTCTGTGTTGTGGAGTAGTGATCATTGGTAAAATTTATTAGTATTATTTCTGAGTGCTTGAGTTCACATGCTTCTACTTTTCTAGTTTTCTTTTTTCAAATTCTCCTTTATTTTTAGACTGGCCTATTTCATTTTAGGAATCATATACTTAGGACGAAGGCGTGATCTCCCAGCACCATTCGGAAAGCTCGTCAGACGACAACAATCGACTCGAACTCATGCAACTGTGGCATTCGAAAATCCAGCTTACGGTGAGTTCCCGATTTTTTGTAAGGTTTCACGTAGACAATCCAGATCAGATTTCTTAGCCGTTGGTTACTCGGAAAACCGAATTCTATGACCTTCCCTTCCTCTAGTGATCTTTATGAGCGAAGTGGTTAGAGGTACGCTGCAATTTACGTGGGTTCGATCTCCATGTTCACCAAGCCTCCTCCGGGGTTGGAAAATTGCCACCGGCCCTATCTGGAAGGATAGCAGTATTAAGCCGATACATTAGCAGGCACGCAAGTCATTGTAAATGCCAGATATGCGTTCAATCACTTCTTACGATGTTTAATGAAGTTGAATAATTGGCGCATTATTCAGATGCTGGTCTTCGCCGAGAGCTTTATATTTTTTCACTTTATATAAGAGTTGTACTGTTCTTAAGTGCAATGCGTAAATCCTGTTATAAAAAGACTTTTATCGATTGTATTAGAACTGTCTTTGTTTTATTGCTTTAAAATGTTTCAGTTAGTATTCTTGAGAACTATGAGAGCTAAACATGTAGTATAGGTCAAAAAGCGTTGTTATTTCAGTAGCTGGTCACGAAGTGGAGATTCGTGGTCTTGGCAATGGCCGGATGGCTAATGGTGTCGACGCCGAATGGCAAAGTCAAGACCTTCAGGCGTCAACCGGAGTTGAGGAATATCGCAATGGAATGCGGTACGCTAAACTGGAATCGACATAAGCCTGTTGTTGTACTCGTATAGCACAGCTTGCTCGTCGAGTCGTCTCTGCATAACATCCAACAATATCGCACATTTAATTGGTCGCGTAGTGTTAGTGCGCGAAACGGGTACAGACAACTACGACCATCCTACCGTTCATAACTGTCGGCACTGTCTACAGTTTTGATGAATACACCGCGTATTTCTGATCTCATGGACGCCACAAGACTCGCGCTACCAACTACCATACTGGCGCTTCTTATCACTCTTTTTTTTACAGTGTTTATAGCTTGAGGTACTGATTCTGACGTTATTATTGCGCAATCCATGTTTATTTAATAATTCTGGTTGTCATGTTGCGAGCCTACTACTCTGCTGGGTAAAGTTTATTTATTTTAAAAGTAGGACCTCAAAAGCTATATATTGCTGTAAAGCCGAGAAATGCTAAATGTCCCGTTATAAAACCCAAACTACATAATCCCTCCATGGCATCGCTTTTTTCTTTTATATGCACATTTACAAAAAGTATTAGTAAGCAAGGCGGCTATTGTGTATGGTGTCATGGTTCGTTGGAGGTGAATAGTGAGTTTATATTTGGTTTCATAACCAGTCATTTAGGTACGTTTCTGTTTCATTATAAAATGAACACTTTCTGTTCCGTTAGAGCTCGATAAAGTTCTTCTAAAGGTAGTGTTATTTGTTTATATTCCTATGCCTTTAAAAAGGGAGACGAAAAAAGAGCAGAATTACAATCGCATGCGTTTTGACCCTGTTTACTGCGTTGTATATTCTGCTAGTTTTCTTTACGTTGTGGCTTGAAAATCTAATAGAAACGTGTCGTTCGGCTAAGGACCTATGGCTCATACTCAAGAACCTATTACAACGTCAAGAGATGTGCGTGTTTGTTTATCCCATCCAAGTTCCCGTTGTTGAGTTCAATGACTTCGTGGTTATGGTAGTTGCAAATAGTTTCTCACTGTTCAAAAACAGGTTTTTGTGATTATTTTTGAAGTTTTGTATTGCTGCTGTGGAGCACTTATGTGGAGTTTTGTGAATGTAGCATTGCTGTATTTAAACATTGTGGTATTTTATATGATACTTCAAGTATCAAGTAAGTAAGGTATTTTATATGGACTATGTTTCCTACGGTCTGATGGGTCGATATTCAATTATTGTGTTATATTGAGTAAGTTGATTTTTGGTAATTGTGACGATGACCGCGGTAACTTGACGGGTTTTCTTGTATAAGAATGCGTTTGAACATCATGTTGTATACTGTGTGTGTTTAATTCGAATCACAATAAATATTTGAGATTTCTGTCATTCTTTTTGTACATGTTCATTGACGAGTAGTTGTTGATGGTACTGGTAGATAAAAAACTAGTTAAGAAAAGCGAACCGAAGTACCCGCATACGAAGGTTAGATAGGAATTTTCCATCAATACGTATGCATTTTTCATACCAATCGAGTGAATTTATTACCCACTTCAGGGTGGATTTGAACAGCTTTGGCGATATTGTGTCGCTCTGTCGAACCCCTTTTCCTATGAGTATGGTAAGAGGTCGATGAAAAAGCAGCATTTTCGTAGTGCAGTTCCGATAACAGTCGGAAAGAGTCCTTATGTAGGACGGCTCCACTCCTTGCTCGACGAGCGCTGATAGGATTGCATTCGTTTCGACATATCAAATGCTTTCTCATAGTCGACGAAGGTAGGAGTAGAGGCAAGTGGTATTCCCGACAGACTTCGATGACCCTGGACACGGTTTAGATGTGGTCTATGAAGCAAAACCCTTTTCGAAATCTTGCTTGCTCGACTGGTTGCGCCTCATCTAACGTCCTTGATATGCGCGAGAGGATAATCTTCGTGATGAGCTTGTGGAGTACACTCAACAAGCAAGTGGGACAACAGTTAAGAAGATCCCTTCGGTCTGCTTTTTTGGGCAGGTTGACCGTGCGCGACTTCCTCCACTTGCCTTTGATTTTTCCCTTTGAAGGTAGCTTGTCATATGATCTGCAAAAAGTACATGTAAATTGTGGCCTCCAGCTCCAAGGAAATCGGCAATGATATTATCGGCTTCTGGAGCTGTGCCCCTTTTCATGCTTTCTATCGCAACTCGAACCCCCGATGGAAGAATTCCAGGCGGTTTTTCTCCGGCGNATAGTCGACGAAGGTAGGAGTAGAGGCAAGTGGTATTCCCGACAGACTTCGATGACCCTGGACACGGTTTAGATGTGGTCTATGAAGCAAAACCCTTTTCGAAATCTTGCTTGCTCGACTGGTTGCGCCTCATCTAACGTCCTTGATATGCGCGAGAGGATAATCTTCGTGATGAGCTTGTGGAGTACACTCAACAAGCAAGTGGGACAACAGTTAAGAAGATCCCTTCGGTCTGCTTTTTTGGGCAGGTTGACCGTGCGCGACTTCCTCCACTTGCCTTTGATTTTTCCCTTTGAAGGTAGCTTGTCATATGATCTGCAAAAAGTACATGTAAATTGTGGCCTCCAGCTCCAAGGAAATCGGCAATGATATTATCGGCTTCTGGAGCTGTGCCCCTTTTCATGCTTTCTATCGCAACTCGAACCCCCGATGGAAGAATTCCAGGCGGTTTTTCTCCGGCGTGGATATTAGGGCCCGGGACGGGGATTGTGGAGCAAAAAAGGTTGGTGTAGAACGTTCCCGCTATTAATTCCATATCACAGCGGAATGTTTTGACGATCCCATCTTCATCCTTTTATTTACTGCCTTTTTCTTTTTAATGGCAAGGTATGTTGCGAAATATAACTCGTATATAATGCTGAGATATTTGCAAAACTCCGGACCGCAGGAGTATGCGGTGGGGAACGAACGCGCGCTATTTTCTTTTCCGGCTTAACTGGATTCGGTGCCGATTGGACTCCCTAGATCAATTTCGCTGACGAGTGATTGCTGGTGGCAAAAGATCGATAGAACTAGCTGAGAGACAGGGAAAACCAGGGACCCGGATGGTGTGATGGTGAAGTGCGCTACTTTCCGGAAAGGACAATAGCGCGCGTTCGTTCCCCATCGCATACACCTGCGATCCCATCTTCGTTCATAAGGGCTGACGGCGGAACATTATAATCACACGTCTCGGCGGCATTTTTTCAGACCGCTTCCTTTCTCTGCTGCTTCCAGTATTTTCATCTGCTTTTACCGTTGTAGATTTTCCTGAAAAGCTCTTCTGCAGCTGGCATTTATTACTAGCCATGTTAAACGTGTTGCAGTAGGAACAAACTTCAGTTTCCTTCCCTTTTTGAGCAACTCCTTAGTAGTGATGGAGATGTGATCCGATCTTCTTGCTTGCGGAACTGAAAAAAATTTGGCGCAGCTTTTCAGTCCTTCGGCAAGCAGCTCGTAGTCTTCCGTCGGGTCTTCTTTAATCTGTCAGTTACGTTTGCACAGGTTTTCGTGCAGAATGTTCTCGTCGTGTCCAGCTAGAATTTTTTCTTGTGATCGATGAAGAGAGTTCTTTCCCAGCTTGTAACGGAATTGAGTGTTCGCGCGAAGGCGGTGATCGGAACCAGTACAGAATAACGGGACTACCGATGTGTCAAGTAGGAACCATCTTCTGTTTGTCAGAATACGGTCGATCTCCGCATGAGTCATGTCGTTGGGAGACTCCCATGTCCAGCGGCGGCTTTCTTTCTTCTGGAAAAATGAATTTCCATGGAAGAGACGTGCTACTGACAGGAGTCATGCGAGGCGGTGCCCATTCTCATTTCCTTTTCCTAATACAAAATTTCCGATCCTGAATTCGCTCTTGTTGGCCTTTCCTATTCTGGCGTTGATATCTCTGACAACATATTTATGATATGCTTTTTCATTGCGGATGTTTTCTTCCAACTGATAGTAGAACGCATTTAGTTCGTACTCATCAGCTACGTCGGTCGGTGAGTAGCAGTTAATGATTGTGGTCTTCTTGTAACGCGTCAGTTAAAGACGTGGAACAACGGCTATGGAGTGAAAAGGATCTCGTATGAGTCGATGAGATGGACAATAGACGGGTGGACGACAAAGCCTACGCCACCTGACGGGACCTTTTCTCCACAGATCACAAGAGTTCCGTTGCTTAGTTGGCATGTGTCGGTCTTCCTGATTTTTGTTTCTTGTAACGCGATCACATAAAATTTAACATTCGTAAAATTTAAGAATTGAAATAAGAATTGAATTGAGAATTGAGTTTGAGAATTGAAAACTAAAGGAAGAATCGCGCGACTTGGCCCGGCAAATAGCCATCTCCAATGGTTACGAAATAGTAACTCCACGAGATAAGTTTACAAGGTGAACGACGCGCCCACGCGAAACGCTTGGCCAAAACAAAATCCCGTTTATGTTGCCTTTTATAAGCGACGAAGTAAGCGCAGCTATAAAACGATGCTTAAGAAGGGCAGGTCTAGAGGAATCGGTAGCGATAGTTGAAATACCACCGACTACTCTACGTCGCCAATTAGTTCGCAACCGCCTGTATGACCGTCTGTGTGAAACAACAAATTGCGTAATTTGCCCTTACGGCAGGGACGGTGATTGCATGAGTTCAGGTACGATATACCTGATCTCGTGTAACAATTGCGGAGATGAATATATTGGCGAAATGGGCAGACCTTTGTATATCCGTATAAAAGAACACCTAGATGGCAAACGAAAACTAAGACGAAGCAGCCCACTAGGCACGCATAGGATACAAAAGCATAGCGGAGACGATTTTGAAGTAAAAGTCAATATCCTTGCACAGGAGTCCAAAACACCAGCGCGAAAACTCCTTGAGGCTTTTTGGATAAATGCCAAAAACCCTACAATGAATAGCAGGGACGAATGCCCGGAGATCATACGCGACCTGATCCCGTACGTTCGCATCGATTTTTGATGTGGGATGGTGCAGTCGTCAACCACATGCGACTATAATCAGCTGTTCTAAACTTCCTCATTGGAAGTCACGAAAAAGCGGTGGGTTTTTCGAGAAGTTGTTGATCGTGTAGTTACCAAAGAGTCTTTCGTCTTTG